CATAAGTTCAAATCTGGCCTTAGACACTTACTAGCTGTGTGATCCCAGGCAAGTCACTTCACCCTGTTTGCCTCAGTTTCCTCATCTGTAAAATGGGGATAATAACAGCACCTATCTCCGAGGGTTGTTGTGAGAATCAAATGAGATAATATTTGTAAATGCACTTAGCACAGTGCCTATCACATAGTAAGTGGTATATAAATGTTAGTTGTTGTTTGCTTAAGTAAGATGACGACAGCAACAGAGAGGCTCCTGAGAGTGGAAAAAGCAAAAGCAATGCTTGAGGTGTCCCCATCTAGAGGCTCTAAGTCTCAGATTTGCAACCAACAACCTTTGTGACGTTTCACTTATTAACACCTCAGTTTCCTCACTTGCAAAATCCAGTCTGTGCCCCGCAGAGACATTGAGTGGAACAAAAATTTTCACAAAAGTACTTTTGAAAAACTATACAGAACTGTGAGGTAATATTATCATCCTCATCCTCATCTGGTCCCTTTCTGTCTTAGATATCCTCCTTCCTGGTGGCATCTGAGCTCAGTGCTTCTCATGATGTAAGACCTCCTCTGGGACATAAGGGAGTCATTCTGCTTAATGGAATAAGCCGGCCACTTCTATGGCAAATGACCGGGAAAAAGTCTACCATCCCCTTATCCTCGCCTTTGAATCCTTCAATCAACTAATTGGCAACAAGGACGTGACTTTGTCACCTAGGAGTGTCTGGTTCATATAGACTGTGGTTTCAATGACATTTAGTCTGTAAAATAACTGCCGTTCTGTTTAATGGGAGCCTAAAAGTCATTCAAACACCCACTTCTCTAATGTCCATGAAAGGAGATCCCTGTTCCTAAAAAAGGAGATCCCTGTTTTAACCATCTATAGGAGTATAGAATATAGGTCTAGAAAAAGACCATAGTTCTAGATCTAGAACCATAATCTAGATCTAGAACTCAGAGAGACCTGTGAGGTCAGCTTGCCCAACCCCCCCCCCCTTTTTTAGATGAGGAGACTGAGGCCCAGGGATATAAAGTCATTTGCTTTGGGTCACACAATCAGTAAGTGAGGGAGCCAGCATTCAAACTCAAGTCTTACCATTTCAAGGTCAGTCAGTTTTCCATTACACCGTGTGGCCTTCTGATTAAAAAGCAACCTGGAATTTTCCTTGGAGTTGCAGATTTTTAATGTCACTGATATATGCCAATTCAGAATATTGAGGTCTTGTGGATTAACAGCTTGGGATAGTGGAAACTTGGAAACTTGCTGGACTAGGAACAATGAGGATCCTAACATGAGCTAGCTGGTTTGACCTTGGGCAGCTCCTTAACCTCTCTGGGTCTCAAGTTCTTCATCTATGAATCGAAGTGCTTGATGTGTATATATCTTTTATACTTCGAAAATCTATGCACGAATACACTTTAAAAAGAACATTTCAAAAGTCTAAGATGTTTGGCTTAATCATCTACAATAGAAAAAAGCAGATGAAAAATGCATACTATTCAGATAATTAAGGTATATTCAGACATATTAAGGTATGAATAAGTGAGAAAACACTTATTAAGTGCTTATTATGGGCCAAGAATTAGGTGACGCCTGAGGATACAAATGCAAAAGTGAGAAAGTCTCTAACCTCAAGGAATTTACATTTTGATGGGAGAGATAAGACACACAGATGATAGACAGACAGGCAGAAAGACATAGAGATAGACAGACAGATAGATATGGATAGAAATAGTACATTGATAGAAATGGATAGGTAGATATGATAAGTAGATAGATATGGGTAGAAATACATACAGACAGACAGAGACGGACAGACAGATAGATAAGATACATATGGATAAAAATGATACATTAAAAAAAAGAAATGATACATTGATAGAAATGGATAGATAGATATGATAAGTAGAAAGTTACAGATAGGGAGAGAGAGATATAGAGATATATAGACAGACAGATAGATAGATATGGAAAATAGCTATATTGCATTTGGAAGCTCTGGGTTGCTTTCAATGATCACAAACTACTCAATTTCTTTTCTTTAACAGTAGTATTTTCAAAGTAGTGCTATATGGCTACGGTCAATCAAAGGTAGAGCTGATTACAAGTAAGGCCTTTATTATAAAGAACAACGGAAAGATGAACACCCAAGTAGCCTTCAGTGTATTACCTTTGATAAACTGGCATGATATAAGCATCTAGGACATGATACTGACTAGAGACAGGAGACAACAGATGAACAACCTGGGTGATACACAGCTTCACAAGATTAAAAGAATCATTTCAAGTTTTCATTAGGTGGATCCTCTATAAAGGTTTTATGTAAAGATAGGGGAAAAGTCAAGAGTGGGTAAACACTAGGAAAACAACAGAATTAATTATATTAAAAATAAAACCCATGATGATTTCAGTAGGGATTGGGGCAAGACTTGTGGTTTCACTGGTAAAGGAAACTATGAAATGAAGAAATTCCCTCTATCAACCTAGGCTGGCACCTTCAGCACCTTCTTTAGCATTAATAACAAGAACAGCAATAATAGCTAGCATTTATATTGTGCTTTAAGGTTTGCAAAGCACTTTACAAATGTTATCTCATCTGATCCTCACAGCAACCCTGGGAGGTAGGTGCTATTACTGTCCTTACCTTATTTTATTCATGAGAAAACTGAGATAATAGAAGTTAAGCAACTTGCCCAGGGTCACACAGTTAATAAATGAATGAGGTTAGATTTAAACTTGGGTCTTCCTAACTCCAGGTCTCGCTCTCTATTCACTTTGATGCTTACCTGCTCAGAACTAAGAGTTTAAGTTACTTGCCCAGGGTCACAAAGCTACTAGGTGTTAGAGGTGGCACTTGAACCTAGTTTGAGTCTAGCTCTATATCTACTCTGCCACATTGCCTCTTACTATATCAAGAGATTTGGAAAGTCTTTGAGAAGGTACATATATCTTTATGATAAAAATCCTACAAAGCATTAAGCACAGAAGGACTATTTTAAATTATAACGAAAGTAAATATCTATAACTGAAAGCTAGCATTATGTGCAAGGGGAAAACACTAGATTTTCTGATAAATTGAAGCATAAAGCAAGGAAATCCCCTTTCTATACTAGTAGAGTTCTAGAAATGTTAGTGATAGCAAGAAGAACAAGAAATTAAAAGAAAAACATGATTTGTATGGGATGAAAAGTGGAGGGAGGGCCCACAAATTCATGGATACATCAAGGTTTCAAGCAAAATGCCCTATTATAAAATGCAGTAAGTGAAATCTAAAGTAAAAAATTTGATATCCTCACGAAATTAGATTATCCTCACTCTATTATAAGATAGTGATAAAGAAAAGAGGCATATAATAATCTTTCAAAGAAGAGTTAATGTTTCATTGTACTTCACTTTGGAAAAGCCAAGAATAACATTTTACTGATAAAATTCAACCAGTAATGAGAAAATATGGGCAATAATTTTAGATATATATATATATATATATACACATATATATTTATAGATTTCAGTGGAAGATTCCATTTGAATCAATACATTTATTCACATTTCACAAGTTGTAGACATGAGACCAGGTACAAATTATAGATAAAAGGATTAACTGGTTAGAAAACCAGTACAGAATCCTATTTATCTTCTACCTTCAAACATACATTATTGGCATTTTGGGTTGTATCTTGCAAAGGTGCTGATTGATTATTTTTCAATTCTGATTTTAATAAGATTTTCTATACTTACCTGTGTTGTCAGCAAAGGATATTTTAAAGGGTACAAATTTCTACTGCCCTCAATATTTTTAAAAATCCTAGATATAGAAACTTCTGCATTCACCAAAGTATTCTTCCTCAAACTATTTAGAAAAACACAGTCATCAAACCTCTGGTAGATTGTCCCCTTTCTTAAAAAGAAGAATAAATCAAAGTAGATTAAAAGACTTATTCAGCGCCACCGGGTTATAAAATAAGCTTTTTTCTGTCTTCTTGGGACTTTTTAATCTTTCAAATTGTTCTTATGATCAAAAAGTCTCTCACAAGTAATCTAAATGTCTCCTCCATCCATGGGGCTCCCTGATATCCTACCTGTCAGATGAGCGCATCTGACATTTCTGAGAACAATTAGATTGGTTGCCTTTTGTGTCTATCTAGGTATTTATTTCTTTGCTCTTGCCTCCTACTACATTTAATGGGCTGGCAGAGCAGGAGGAAAAAGAAACCTGATATGCCACTTTTACAAAATCACCACCCACAGAGCTGCTGCCCACACAGTAAGACAGTCACATTGATTTATAAGCATGCATGCATTTTAAAAGTAAAAGACCAATATATATCCCATAAACCACTGATCATGGGAACATGTAGCCCAAAGCCCGAATGAAATGCAGAGAAATGAGTGACTAACTTGACCTTCACATTTTTTCCCCTACAGCTTTTGGAATAGTTTATAGTTTCTTTATCTTTATTAGGGCATTTTCATCATCACATTAATGATTCATTAAACAAAAGGCTTACCAAAAAGTTTACATTTGGAAATAAACTTTAGCTTCTAAATCTCTAACAGTAAAGGCAAGCCCTGATTTGCCACTGCTCCTCACTGAAATCTTCAAGGGAATTAAAGCAGGAAAGTTGGGAAACCATAGTAGAAATGGTAGGATGAAAGTAGAACATCCAGATTCATTCCAAGAGATCAGCTCAATAAAAATGTGGCTTTATCTCTCTCTTCCTTTATTGCCCTGTAATCCTTATAACGATCCTTCCCACAACCCACTCCCTATGGCTTAGAACTCATGTCTTTAAAATTATGTTTTATTTTTGTGCCAAACACTTTGTTAATACAAAGTATTCTGATGTGTAAGTGATCCAAGCAGAAATCAGCAGAGACCTTGTACAAGTACAACATAGAACAAGGAGGAGACAGGCAGAATGTGTTAGCTGGGGCAAGAAATAAGCAAGATATGCAGGCTTAAGATGTGGACGAAAAAGAAAAGAGAGCAGAGCTATGTCTCATACCTTTTAACCCAACATGAACTGTCGAGATGAATTTGTGTTTGATGGAAGATGCTTTACTTTTCCTGGTCTCAGTTGTTTCCTTATCTGAAAAATGAAGGGGTTACATTAGATGGCTTCTAAAATTTCTTAGAGGCAGCTCGGTGGCTCCGTGGATAGATATAGCGTTGGGCCTAGAGTCAGGAAGACCTGAGTTCAAATCCAGCCTCAGATACTTACTAGTTGTGTGACCCTGGGCCAGTCACTTAACCTCCGTTTGCCTTCACCCACTGGAAAAGGAAATGGCAAACCACTCCAGTGTCATTGCCAAGAAAGTCCCACGGACAGCATTGGCGTGCTGTTGTCCGTGGGGTCAAGAAGAGTCGGATATGACTGAACGACAACAAAAGATTTCTTATACCTTTAAATCTAGGGTCCTATTCATGTCTCACTCTGAGCTTGAGAGAAGCCTAGCTTCAGGATGATTTCTGAAAAGCAGTTATCCCTTTCCCATCATTTGCTCTTGGTGATCCAGACACAGCTTTGGACAACGATCAGGAACACACACTTTGGATTTAGTAAGATACAGAATGTTCATTCCAACGGACAGCTCAGACTTTCAGTAATGCCTCTAACAAAAATGTTATGACGGGGGCAGGGGAGCTCAGGCAGGGATTTGAGAAGAGATGAGGTGGGTCCAGATCGGGGAAAATTTCTGTTACAGCTATTCCGGAAGGGCACTGAAAAACTCCTTGCACAAAGGAACAAGAAGATTAATGGCTCAGACTAAGGAAAGGAAGCTTAGAGCAAATCCACGGCAAAATTTGTTCAAGGAATACTCATCTTTATAAAGCTACTCTTGGTAATAACACAAAGTCAGTAAGATCTTGGTTTTCATTTGCTGTATGATTTATATTTCTCAAGCTAAACTGTATACTCCACCACCGCCTGGGGTAGAAGTTCTTCCTTTCTTCCTCCCTCTCATTCCACTCCCCTCCTCACCAAAAGTATTTCAAAATTATGTGCTGTAATAGCTTGATTATTTTGGACACCTTCCCCTTTATTCAATCACATTCTGATCTGCACCAAGTAATAAATCATGATACTTTAGATTTATAAAAATCCACATAAACAGACACACATTCTCCTGAGTTATTACTATCTTCATTATTATTTTTAAACCCTTTATTGATGCCTTTGTCTTTACATCAATTATTCAGGCAGCCAAGTTGCACTTCTGGCAATTCTAAACCTTCGATGCTCCACAAATTAAATCCCCTCAAAATGGCTACATTCCCAAGCCCCAAATGTGTCGTGAGAGCTAAATCACCGTGCAGTTTACACTCCTGATTTTGGCAGTCACTGGCGTTGCACATAATCACTGTCACTAACTGTTTTCAGTTGGGCACAGGCTTTCAATAACCAGGCTGTGTCGCTGCCAATTCCTGACATTAATATGGGAAATAAGACAGAGGAGCCCAAAGAGGCAAGTCTATAACTTCTTTTCCTCTGGTATGTATATGCAGGCCTATAGGAACACCTCCTTTGAGTAAAGGACATGACAAGCCAACCATTCCTTTCTGATACAGAAATGAGTTTTATGCATAGTGGAGCCTACAGCAGGAAGGGTCAGTCTCAGTCAAGGTGGGATGAAGATGAAAGAGCACTGCTGAGACCATGTACTGAAAAGACGAAAGAGATACAATGAAGATCACTGAGGACTCAAATGCCCTGGGAGAGCCTTCCTGTCCTGCATCAGCCTTGCAGTGGCTGTCTTACCAGCCTGAGAAGGGACCTTAGATCAAAGGAGGCAGAAAGATCCAGCAGCTAACTCTACTCATATCTCTTTCTCTACATTTGCCCTTTTCATATGATCATGTTTATATCTAAAACATATTTTTAAGGGCCTAATGCATTGCTACATGGGTCCAGACTCCTTCTTCCAGGAATCTAATAATTTCAGACAGAAATGTCAAACACAAGGCCTGTCAGCTCACAATACTCCTGAATGCAGCCCAAATCTGATTAAAATGTAACTGGGAAATATTCAACAAAATCAATGAAGATATAATAAAACATAGGTAACATTACATTTTAAAACTAAGTCAATGTACAGCGCACAGGAATTTTTATATAAGGATTAGTGGCCCCATTTTCTACTTAAGTTCACCATCATTGACCTAAGACACAATGAAGTACATATATAAGCCCTGAACAAAAAGATGGAAGAATAATGATGGCATGATTAAGTGATGAGGTATTTACAACATATAATGTACAAGTTATGAGTAAATGCATTGTAGGGGAGATGTACTCAATTAAAGAAAGGCATGGAAAGTCCATGACCAACTTCAGGTCTGACCATCAAACAGGCTCTCCTCCATTTTGGGTCACAGCCTGGAAATTAACAAGTTTTCAAAGCTCCTTTTGATATAGGAAGATGACCAGACTAAGAGTCAGAAGACTCTGGTTCAGGCCCAAGTCTGCCATTAACTTAAGTATGTGAACATGGGCAAGTTTTTTTCCAGCTCCAAGCCTTATGTTCCTCATCTATGAAATGAAAATGGATGGAGTAGATGATTGCTGATGTCTCTTCCAGCTTCAATATGCTATAAATCCAGACTCTACCTTCCCAAGACCACTTACGGTGTCCTTCAGAATAAAGGAAGGAGGTGGAAGGAAGGGGATTAATGGATTGATGATGAGATCACATCATTCATTAATTATTTCATTCATTCAACAACCATTTAAGCCTCTACTATGTGCAAAGAACTATGTACTGGGTGAAATACAAACATAATTAAACCAATCCTTCCCTTTCCTCATGAAGCTTACAGCCTAGGAAGGCATACACACACACATGCATATATACATATATCTATATATCTATATATATAGATATATATATAGATACACATATACATATACACATCTATATGTATATATATGTATACACACATATATATGAGATATTTTATGTATATGCAATAAGTGGGCAGTGGGGCCTAGTAGATAAAGAAATGGCCTTAGTCATCAGGGCAGAAGGGATGCTAGTCTGTATTGCTAGAAGGAGTTTTCCTACCTGGGAGCTTCCTAAACAGGTTCAGATTAGAAAATAGTAAAAATTGTAACATACAACAGAGTACGATAAGAGAAGGAGGTACAAAGTGCTTTGTAAGAGATAAGGTATCATAGATCGCTTCTGACTGGGGGTTAAGGGAAAACTGAGCTGGAGGTAATGTTTAGATCTTGAAGGATGGGGTAGGATTTCAACAGGCAGAGATACTAGAGGAGGACACATCTTCAAGGTAAAATAGAAGTGAAGGTTTTCCTTTTATTTGGGTAGAAGGAAGCTTATCAGGCATGGATTTTCAAATGGCAGAAGGCAGCCAGGTACTTATAATAGGCAGCTGTCTTTGCCCCATTTGTTTTTTTGCTTTTAAATCTTCTGGGGAATCACTTCCCTTCACCCAGTTAAAAGACTATATAGTCTCAAATCATCATCTGCCATGCTGATTACTGTCAATCTAACGTTAATGAAAATACAGAAGCAATAAAAAGACTATAAATTGAAAGGTACACAACAGTAAACTCCTGGCTAGGGTTGCACTCAACTTCTAAATATTGTTTGGGTAGAGGCTGTGTACAGCTTTTCGTAAGTGTTCCTATGTACACTGGCATTTAAATGCCAAGACCCCAGAGAGGAGTGAATTCATTCATCAGAGACATATTTCGCTTAAGACTTCAGTGATAAAGACAAAGCCTGAAAAAGTCTAATAGGTTATATAATACACTCATCTTTGATTCTCAAAAACCAAACAATTCGTGATTGCTAAAGTGCATATGGTATAGTCTGTGGTGGAATCGATTAGTGGGTTCAGCTGTTAACCAAAAGATTGGTGGTTCAGCTCACACAGGGACATTCTTTTGGGCAGCGAGGTGTTGCAATGGATAGAGTGTTGGGCCTGGAGTCAGAAAGATTCATCTTTCTGAGTTCAGATCTGGCCTCGGACACTTACTATCTGTGTCACCCTGGGCAAGTAATTTAACCTTGCTTTCCTCAGTTTCCTCATCTGGGAAATGAGCTGGAGAAGGAAATGGCAAATCACTCCAGTATCTTTGCCAAAAAAAACCCAACCCCAAATAGGGTCACAAGGAGTTGGAAACGACTGAACAACAACAACAATTTATATACAGATCTAATGGAGAGATTCTAGAACCCTAAGAAAGATTTTGAATTGCATGTTTCATTTCACAACCTTCAAAGAAAAGCATCTGACTGAATTGTTAACTTCCTAAAGGTGCTGAAGCATTGGAGGGGGGGGTTTCCTTTGGGTGTGTGTGTGTGTGTGAGAAGACAGCAAACCATCCCGTCCAACTTCTGAACAAACTACTACCTTTATGGAGATTTCATAGCCAGAATGTTTTAGCCACATCAGACTAAGTAAAAAGAATCTATGTGGCCCTTGATATATTGACTGATAGGCATTTTCCAGGACTTCTTCAAACTGGGTTCTAATGGAAAACCAAGCCCCAGATACTAGAACTCTTCTTCCTGAAGACTCAACTGTATTTTCAAAGCTGGCTTTTTCATTTTTCTTTCAGATCAAACCAAACATCTGAAATAATGAGTCATTTTGGGCTGGAAATGGAAGCATCAGGTCAAATACAGTTTAAGCCACTTTTATGCCAAAAGACTCAGACAGCCCCAATACAATGGAAAGACAGGCCTGTGACATCAGTTCATCTTCTGATTCCATTGTCGTAGATGTTTTAAACATACGGTTGGCCCTTACACCAGGTTAGCACATATTAACAAAGGAAGACTGCATGGTCAATCTCTAGTAATTCAGGAAATCCATGGCAAAAAGTCTCTTCTCTCAAATTTTCACCCCTGGGAACATTTCACTACTCCCGAGCATTTAGGAGGTAGGGAAAATAGGAGGTAGAGAAAATAGGAGGTAGAATCAGGGAATGGAAGCTTTGATGTCAGATGGAGAGAAGAGCTGTCCTCTTGCTCTCTATTTACTGGCTTTTGATCATCCTATGGTTATACTTTATTTCTGATTGGTAAACAAGGTTACCTGTCTCCCTCCCAGTAGCCACTT